TTATGTAAAGCACGTCTAAAGCCCAAAATCAGATTTTGACAACAATAATATTATTTATTAAATAACTAATGTATTTCAAATAAGTTGAGATTGTCTTTTAAATTGTTTCTTAATATCTTGTGGATAATAGTTCTCAAAATCACGAAAGTATTACTCTCGTAAGCAGTTGCTTCTGCTTCGTAGAAATAAGAAAGGAAAGCCTTAGCCACCGTATGCGTTCTAAAATAGAATTAGAAACCTTGACCGAAATGATGCGTCAGAGTAAATCTAGTCTAAAAGTAGAACACCGCCATATATGGAAGCGTTAGTCTAGGCGATAGACCATTACCTTATATGGTTACATTTTGTTACTTTCACTCCGTATATGGTATGTGGGTCAACCTGCGCTACTATGACTCACAGCGATAGAATAAAACTACCCCTTCTCTTATTGTAAAATGCTTATAAAAGGACCTTCTCTGATCGCTGTTGCGTAGATCAGAGAGCGGATTCGAAGTAGAGAGGCTCAGATCCGAGCTCTGAATCTCAATAAAGTCGCTTGCAAATACTTTAAAATTCTACAAGTTATTACACTCCATTCCGATCAATCCCGAGGCTTCGTCATCATTCGGACGTCCAGTAAATAATCCTGAGGTTTTAACCCTCTTAACCGCCAGCGAAGGACCCACAAAACGACGCTCTGCAGGAGACGAACGGGAGTTCGCCTCACCAGGACGTCACACGAGGAAACGTCGTATCCTTGCGTATCCCCTGTGTGCCTTGTCGACTCAGTAATCTCGACGTGCGAAGCGCGGAACCGCCGGATCCGAGCGCCCGCGACGTTCCCACCGCTCAAACGTCGATTCTCGCCGTTTGAAGCTCGGAAACGTCGTATCCTTGCGTTCGCGGCGTTTCCACCATTCAAACGTCGAATCTCGACGTGCGAAGCGCGGAACCGCCGGATCCGAGCGCCCCGACGTTCCCACCGCTCAAACGTCGATTCTCGCCGTTTGAAGCTCGGAAACGTCGTATCCTTGCGTTCGCGGCGTTTCACCATTCAAACGTCGAATCTCGACGTGCGAAGCGCGGAACCGCCGGATCCGAGCGCCCGCGACGTTCCCACCGCTCAAACGTCGATTCTCGCCGTTTGAAGCTCGGAAACGTCGTATCCTTGCGTTCGCGGCGTTTCCACCATTCAAACGTCGAATCTCGACGTGCGAAGCGCGGAACCGCCGGATCCGAGCGCCCGCGACGTTCCCACCGCTCAAACGTCGATTCTCGCCGTTTGAAGCTCGGAAACGTCGTATCCTTGCGTTCGCGGCGTTTCCACCATTCAAACGTCGAATCTCGACGTGCGAAGCGCGGAACCGCCGGATCCGAGCGCCCGCGACGTTCCCACCGCTCAAACGTCGATTCTCGCCGTTTGAAGCTCGGAAACGTCGTATCCTTGCGTTCGCGGCGTTTCCACCATTCAAACGTCGAATCTCGACGTGCGAAGCGCGGAACCGCCGGATCCGAGCGCCCGCGACGTTCCCACCGCTCAAACGTCGATTCTCGCCGTTTGAAGCTCGGAAACGTCGTATCCTTGCGTTCGCGGCGTTTCCACCATTCAAACGTCGAATCTCGACGTGCGAAGCGCGGAACCGCCGGATCCGAGCGCCCGCGACGTTCCCACCGCTCAAACGTCGATTCTCGCCGTTTGAAGCTCGGAAACGTCGTATCCTTGCGTTCGCGGCGTTTCCACCATTCAAACGTCGATTCTCGCCGTTTGAAGCTCGGAAACGTCGTATCCTTGCGTTCGCGGCGTTTCTAGCATTCAAACGTAGATTCTCGATATGTGAAGCGCGGAACCACCGTAATCGAGCGACCGAAGCGTTTCCACATCTTAAACGTCGATTCTCGCCGTTTGAAGCGCGGAACCACTGTAATCGAGCGCTCGAAGCGTTTCCACAACTCAAACGTCTTTTCTCGCCGTTTGAAGCGCGGAAACGTCGTACCCTAGCGTTTGCGGCGTTTCTAGCATTCAAATGTCGATTCTCAACTTGTGTAACACGGAACCACCGTAATCGAGCCCCCAAAGCGTTTCCACAACTCAAATGTCGATTCTCGCCGTTTGAAACGCGGTAACGTTGTACCCTTTGTGACGTCCCGTCTAAAATTTTGATTCTTATATCCAACCGATTCGATTTTACTCGATGAAACATATAAATACGTAATCTCTTATTATTATTCTTTTATATTTAACTTATATATATTCTATATTACTTATGCGTATTCGCAAGCAATGCCGTGGAATAATTTCTAACTTATTATTTGGAATTAATTTCAAGACTTATTATTTGATAACCTAAAATTACGCTTATTCGCTTATTAAAATTCACGAGTAGATTTACCGACCTTAGTTTTATATCAATTAGAGTAAATGAATTACCATCAACAAAATTACCATTGATGAGTTGCCAACGGTGGTTGCTTAAACACTTGCTTAAACACTTACCGACTTTGGTTCACGTCAACTAGGGCCGATAAAGTTACCATCAGAGATTACCGACGGTAGTGAAGTACCGACTCTCGAAAAGTTACCTTTAGATAATCACCATCTGATAAATTCAAATCTCACGATAAATTCTGTTCCACGCTTATAAAATAAAGCCGAGGCAGGCGCAGGTTATATAATTATAATAATCCTACTACAATTAATAGTAAACCTTATTTGACAACGCGCATAACCGATACCACAAGAACATCATATTATTTTAAGTATCTGAACAACCAAATAACTTTAGCTAAAGGGAATCTCGCAAAATCATTAAAAACATTATACAGAATGATTAAGTAAAGTATTAATTTAAATTCTTTCAAAAAATTTCTATTATCTTAAATATCTGCACAACCGGATGGAATTTGACAATGAAATTTACATAGAACTACTCAGGACA